ATTCCCTGGCCTCGAGCGCCCTGAGTTCCTCCTCCCTCGCCAGCGCGTCGAGCACCGGGCTCGGCTCCTCGGTCCTCGAGGCAGCGGGTGCGGCGGCGCCCAGGGCAATGGACGCGCCAGTGGGCGGCGCAGGCGCCAGCAGAGGGGGCAGCTTGACACCCGTCTCGCGGGCCTGGGCGTTGGCGTCCTCGACGAGCTGGATCTGGTCCTCGGTCGCGGTTCCGTTGATGAAAGCGATACGGGCGGCAGAGAGGGAGTCGGCGTCCATGAGCTTCTGGGCTTCGGTAAAGTCTTCGCGACGCTTGCGGTTGTAGGTGACCATGTCGTAGACGGAGTAGACGGAGATGAGGCCGGCAAGGGCTGTCATGTTGTTAGCGTGTGTGTTCACGACGACCGACTGTCCTGCGTGTGATCCTGAAGAGGAGGCATAGCAGGATGCCTCCCACCGAGGGATCCAAGAATATAGGTGGTGGCTACGGGTAAGGAGGTAGCCGTACCAGTGAATCCTAGCAGTCCTGCAATAGTGACGCGATGCGCAACATCAAAGAAACGTCGTCCACCGCCGACAGCCTTGTCAAATCCAGACACCTGGGCCTTTCGTGCGGCCTCGTGTGCAGCTCTTAGCCTTCGGACGCGCTCCTCGGGCGTCTCGCCACCCTTCTTGGGCCCATTGCCTGATAGCCTGCTCGCGGCGGATGGAGCTTTCGATGTAGCGGCGGATACGGGGGGTTGCTTCGAAGAGGCGTGCGGGGTGGTGGATGTGAATCGGGTTGCGTCCGAAGCGCTCCGGAGAGGCATGCGCGTCGCCATTGAGGGTTTTATCGGCATCTTGGTGGTGAGCTGAGGGATGGTGTTCAGGAGAGACGTTCGGGGTCTGCTGAAGATGCCGCCGATGATCGTTCCATTTCCATTTCCCGGCTGAGATTTTCAGGGATTGGCGCCGATAGGATTGGCTGAGCGGCGCAGCTGGCAGCGACTGGCAGAGGCTGGCACAAACTGATCCATCTGCCTCTTCAAGTCTTGGGCGATTGAATGAACGTTATAGACATTGGATCATTGGAACAGGTCAATTGTTTGCAAGAAATTAGGTAGCAGTTTCCACCAAGCTTCATTGATAGTCCTAATGCTGGAGTATCGCAATATCCCGTGAGCTCTTTATCATTTGAGTCGAGCAAACAGAGCTCGATGACGACAACTCCAAAGCCATTTGGCTATCGAACAAGTCATGGCCATCATAATCTTCTCAAATAGCAGCAACCAAGATTGAGCATCTTCACAGGACCATGGTCACGGTCCAGACAGCGAAAGTGGTGCTGGGACAAGTTGTTGCCAAAAACGATGCCATAAAAGCGGTCGGTGGCGGCAGAACTGCCCACATCAGCCCAGTCAATACGTACCCGCTTCCTCATCACCCACGACGCTGCTCGTTCGTCAATGGACGAGTAGACCCCAGTCGGTCATGTGACCCTGCACCCTCGACCCAGTCCCCTCTCAGATCCGCTTCGTGGATGTGGGCCCCACCCGAACAATTTGGGCAGGCACAGGAATTTTTAGGGCAAGCGTTTTTTGCCGACTCTGACTGTCGATTGCCTCCTCCTCCAACTAACCTCGCAGCAACCCTCATCAACAACTCGGTCGTCAGCAGTCCAAGTCAAAATGGTATGGCCCACGGTCACGGCGCATCCTCATCGTCCGTACTAACTTTCAATTCCAGGCGATTCAGGGCAACCAGAAGCTCCAGAGCAACCGTGAGGCCCCCCCCCACACCGATTCGATTCTCGACGACGAAACGCAAGAACACGACGACGAAATAGACAGACGACTGACTTTGTTCCTTCAGACTTCCGCAAGGATTGGCAGCGCCGGGTTCGCACCCACTTCGACCAGGTATGAAACGACCACGGGCAACGAGACGGACTTTTATCTTGTGTGAATCGCGACAGAGGATCTGATATTTTCTGGAATTTTAGCCCGGCAAGAAGCTCAGCCGCAGACATGCCCGCCAGGCCAAGGCCGCCGCGGTCGCTCCCCGCCCTGTCGACTCCCTGCGCCCCATCGTGAGGTGCCCTACCATCAAGTACAACCGCAAGGTTCGCGCCGGCCGTGGTTTCTCCCTGGCCGAGCTCAAGGTACGACATGCACCAAATCAACCATCACCTCGACATCAGGGGGAGGGAGAACAGCGACCCCTCGATCGTCCCCCCCAAAACCCTACTGACACGCACCACAGGAGGCCGGCATCCCCCGCCGCTTCGCCCAGACCATCGGCATCTCCGTCGACGGCCGCCGCCAGAACCTCTCTGAGGAGGGCCTCGCCGCCAACGTCGCCCGCCTCAAGGCCTACCAGGAGCGCCTTGTCCTCTTCCCCCGCAAGGCCGGTAAGGCCAAGAAGGGTGACTCCACCGAGACCGACCTGTCCAAGATCGAGACCGCCTCCCACATCGCCAAGGCCCTGCCTTTCGCCCCCGTCGCGTCTGGCTTCTCCGAGATCAAGAAGTCCGAGATCCCCGCTGCCGTCGAGGGCGGTGCCTTCAAGGCCCTCCGCCACGCCCGCAGCGAGAAGCGCAACCAGGGCAAGCGCGAGAAGCGTGCCAAGGACAAGGCCGACGCCGAGGCTGCGGCCAAGAAATAAGCGGGAGGCGGCATGTCGTGAACGGCATCAACCACCTCTGTCTGCTCATTTCCTTTTTGGTTCGTTCGTTTCAGGCTGGGGCTGGCCGGATTGCATGGTATAGGTTCATTTTACGCGCAAAACGCTGCTGCACGCCTCCTTCCGGCTGCTTTTCGGACCATCCGTGTTTCCGTTCCGAGAGGAAGCCCGGAAGTCGGCTTCTTTCTTCTTTCCTGGCCTGGGCGTGTTGGGGTAGAGGGGGGAAGAACAAAGATACAATTGAGGACGCGGGTCAGGAGGCAGAAGAAGAATACCGCCGCAGCTGCATTCGTCCTTGGGCTGGCGTATGTACTCAGACGACTGCAATGGGAAAAGCATGATCTGAAGTGGGTACATGATATCCAATGTGAACTATGACCTTGCTTGCTGGAATATGTCTGAACACGGGGTGATGTGATGTGCATGCGAAGTGTCATTTAACTACGCTACACATCTCAGGCGGCAGCAAATTCTCTTCGGCCACCGGACTTAGCCTTCCTTCGCGCCGTCATCTTTTCGACCCTCGGCCACCAACTCCCCGCCTTCCTTCAGCATCTCTCCCAGTGCTGCTCTTCTCGCCGCGGGGAAATCCCCCCCAGCATGCTTGACCAGCTCGGACACGAGCACCAAGCCGTTCTCCCGATCAACCCTGGCCATCCCCTCCGCCTGCTGCGGATCAACCTGCTGCGGCTGCAGCCCATCCACGACAGAGGCAGCATCCGTACTGATGGTAACCTCACCCCTTTCCTCCGCCGTCTCAGCCGAACGCTCTTCACCCTCTCTTCTCCCCGTGATGCTCTCCACGAGCGCCTCCCACGCCCCGGGCACAGCAAGCACCTTGGACACAACGCCAGCGCCGTCCTCGCTCCTCGCCATGAGCGCAAACACAAACCACGCCTCGCTCCGCAGCACGCCAAACTTGGGCTGCACAACGAGGTGCGCGAGCGCCTTGCCCAGCGCCCCGTGGCGCCGGTAAAACACCTCCCGCCGCGGCCGCGCGACGTCCTCCCCAGCCGGCGACGACGAACGACGCCGCCGCCGCCGCCGCCGCTACGGGCGCCCCCGCGCGCCGGACACGTACCCGTCGTCGCGCGGGTCCCAGTCCGGCAGCACGGATGCACGGGCGTCTGTGCAGAACGCGCACAACGTCGAGGGCGGCGCGCGCGCCC